AATCACTGGCTACACAGGCGGATAAAAATTCATTAACTGTCCTGTCCTGTTCATTAACTGTCCCGCGAAAACGTCAACCGTGGGAACTCTGCACGGATTGGATGAGCTCATTGCCCCTGTGGCCTAAAAACTATTTTACTAGCAACACACACTGAAAGCTTGACTTCTGTCTTTGAAACTGTGTACTGCTGCAGACGATCAAACATTCGCGATACTTCGAACCATCAACCTACCTTGAAGAAAGCCAGTGAGGTACGGGCCGAAACGTCGGTATTAACCGGTCACTGAAATAATCACAGTATTCTTTGCGTTATGCAAAAGTAAACCGTGTTTTACGCTACTTTTAAATTCAATCTAATAATTTTCATATTTTATACTTTTTGAAATGACTGTTCTCTCTCGGGCACTACCGACCTCAGTAGATATGAAAATTGAGAAAAGGAGGATGACCCAATTAGAAAAACTGGTTGAGCGCATACCATTTACTCCAACCTATGTGCATATCGTGCCTGAGCCGAAAAATGATCGTTTGCTGAACAGGAGATTGCCATTTAAATAAGCTTACAAAAAATTTTTAACTCCAATACCCATGCTCGATATTTCTTGCAAAATTGACTATGCTGAAGGTGAACGTATAAACTGCACGAAATATCTTGTAGCTGTTCTACCTCAAGATGTGTCTTAGTCCAAACATGTGAAGCTGACTGCAGATAAAACGCGGAAAAAAGTTGACTATAGCCATTTACCTGAGGCAAGTGATGGCAACAAAACCAATTCTGCAACTTTTCATAAAATAGTGCAGGGGCCTCAAGTTGATAGCACATAATGACTGATTCGATTTTAAAGTTCTTATCCGAAATCTAGTACAACGCATCCTGAAACTGTCTACGCTTTGGCACCGCAATATCCACTTTATCTGGCTCTGTCATCTTGAACAACGGTACATCCCAATACAGTATCAATAGCAGTGAATATGTAGTGTCGGAGGGAACTGAGATGTAAGTCATTCCTGTCTAACCTTGCATCATGGAGGACCCATTGGCACTTGCAAATATTTTGTATATACAGTTACTTAAGTTGCCTATCGCTTAACCGGTACTTATGTCGATAGTTACTTTTTGTTGTTGCTATTTTTTGCTGAAAGACATGGTTATATTCTGTATATTCAAACAGTAAAATACGTTCATTAACTCATTCAGGAGTTCAGCATGCATGCAACATGGAGGAATAAGGTACAGGCAGATCTGTTTGCGCCGAAGAATATTACCTTGGACGATGTAACAATGTAATAATCGGCATTTTACAGCAAAAATGCTGAAAAGTTGCGGAATACAGTGAATACTACATTCCAGAGATATTCTGCTTTTGCAAACGGCTGAAGCTGATGATCTCAACAACACACACAATACTTTGGAACCTTACCTTTTAGTGACTTTTGAACTGCTAATTTAACTGTTAAATTATATGACATTTGTCCAATTCTCCTATAGGCTACATTAACACATGGTCGATATATGATCGAATAAGTCGACCAGTTTCCAAGAACCTACGACGCGATAATCATATAGACAATATGGACAATTTTTTGGTCATGCTATGAAAACTGTAATTAATGACTATTACCTGTTAACGAGCACGAAGTTGAACGGACACTTAACAGCATCCGAAACGAGTTGTCGCAGCGAGTCTAGCACGTCATTCCACGGGTTGGCCGGAATAGTGTTGCCTGAGAAATGGTAGGTGTAACCGATGTCGCCGAATGCGACTTGCTTGCGAGGAATTCGATGCCAGCGGTTAAACACCTTTACCATCGTCAGGTCACCGTCATAGTACTTTAGCGAGGTTTCGCAGTACTGGAAAAGTTGGTCAGCTACTTGTCGGGTCAGAAAAGTTTCAAAATATGAAATATGGAAATCAACGCCGGAAATATCTTGAGAGACGTTTGAAACCGGACTGGTGGTTCGCAGCATGGAAATAAGCTGTCGGTCTTTTGTAAGCAGCTCAACAGAATTCTCAGAAGTACTTGGTTGTTCGCTGATGCACGTTTCTTCGTTCATTGCCTAAAAGAATAATTATTAATTCAGTGCATAGGGAGAGGTTTAAGTTATGAAAACGTACACTATTACGGATCTCTAGATCACTTTTCGGTCAGAACCTTTCCATTGCCCAATTTGCCTATTTTAAATTGCGAGTTCATTGCGAGGGTTATATAGCAACCTGCTTGACTGCTACGCACGAATGACAACGATGCAGCAGCATACCGCTGAACATAAGTCTTCTACCTAAAGTTCGAAAGTATTCCTTATTAACTCACAGAGAGCGTAGGACAGCTCAGTATGTATACCTCCGGACTCACATATGATTGCCGCAACATTAACC